AGATGAAATACAGAGACTTTGCGAAAGCCTTCGACAAGTGCGACCATGGTTTAATTGCACACAAAATAAATGATAAAGGAATAACAAGAAAAGTTGGTAGATGGGTCTATAACTTCCTAACAAGCAGACCACAAAGAGTAATAGTAAACAGGGTAAAGTCTGAGGCAGTTACAGTGAAAAGTTCAGGTCTACAAGGCACTGTACTTGCCCCCATCCTGTTCCTTATCCTTATATCTGACACAGACAGAGATGGAAGCCACAGCACCATGTCTTCCTTTGCAGATGACACCCGAATCTGCATGATGGTGCCATCCCTTCGAAGACACTGAAAGACTTCAAGTGGACATCAACCAAATCTTTAAATGGGCTGTGGAAAGCAACATAATATTCAATGAAGAAAAATTTCAATTAGTCCGATATGGAAAACTCAAAGAAATTAAAGCTGTATCAGAGTATAAAACAAATTCCAACCACACAATAGAGTGAAAAATAATGTGAAGGACCTGGGAGTTATAATGTCTGAGGATCTCACATTCAAAGATCACAACAATGTTTCTATCACATCTGTTAAGAAAATGATAGGATGGATAATGAGAACCTTCAAAACTATGGATGCCAAGCTCAGGATGGTTCTCCTCAAATCGCTTGTTCTCTCTAGGCTGGAATATTGCTGTACACTAATGGCTTCTTTCAAGGCAGGTGAAACTGCAGACCTGGAGAATGTACAGAGAACGTTCACAGTATGCATAAATATGATAAAGCACCTAAACTACTGAGAATGACTGAAGTCCCTTGATTTGTATTCCCTGGAACACAGGCGAGAAAGATACGTGATAATGTACACTTGGAAAATCCCAGAGGGACTAGTCCTAACTTTGCACATGAAAATCACTCCCTACAAAAGCAAGACTGGGCAGGAGATGCAGAATCCTCCCCCCCCCCCAATGAAAAGTTGGGACACCATGAGTATGCTAAAAGACAACACAATAAGTGTCAGGGGCCCAAGACTGTTCAACTGCCTTCTAGCATACATAAGGGGGATAACCAATAGATCCCTAGCTGTCTTCAAGAAGGCACTGGACAGACATCTAAAGTCAGTACCTGATTAGCATGCAGCCAGCAGTAACAGCCTGGTTGATCAGACCCTGGTCCACCAGGCAGCCTGGTCACAGACTGGGCCACAGGGGCATTGATTCCCGAAACCCTCTCCAGGTATAGGAAGGAGTGTGTTGATTGTGATGGACAGGCGTGAGATTGTTTTGCCATTACAATAATAATGGACAATTCAGTAACCAGTGGACTTTGTCCATTAAATTATGAGTTTACTGTGCATCCAGAAAAATCATTGCACGAAAAACAAAGTATTACACACCTTAAAAATTTTATCAAGTTGGTCCTGTATATCTCTAACCCCTGGAAAGGCAGGTACTCCGGTGATCATTTCTGTGTAAATGCAGCCAACGCCCCACATGTCCAGTGAAGTAGAATAGTCGGTAGAACCCAAAAGAACATCCGGCGGTCGATACCATAACGTTACCACTTCATGTGAGTATGTGTGGGATGGTACAGATTTGGCTCGTGCAAGGCCTGTCAATAGTTAAAAGAATTATTTCTAGTACAATACATTGTATCTTAAAATATTTACATAGTAGTTTATATATACTCATGTATAAAGTTTTTGTGGTAAAAAAAATTACTGTACATAAATATGGCCTCCCCAACACTGGGCTCCATGAAGCAACTTATTGTTAAAATGATTAGAGAGATTTTCTGAAATAACAAAAGTTCTCAACACCTGTCCTCCTTGTAGCTCAGATTCATAAGCCAAGTTAGCCAAAGATTTTAATCATTAAATGATTTCATTCAAGTTCCCACACCTAATTCCTTTTGATTCACCTTTCTGAAAAAAAAATTAATATTAAAGTGGAAATCACATTTTACACTTTAAAACATTCCATGTATAGGGTAGAAATATCCTCTTTACACTGAAGCTCACAGGGTAGCCACACCACAGTATGTGGCTACCCTGATCGATGATATTTTGTAAGGTTAGATCAATCACTATACAAGACGGGTTTACCATCATTCTTCATCCTTTCTAGTGAATTCTGATTAGGCATAACTTTCTATTATCCAGACTCCTCCTTTATCCTTCTCCTTAAGGTCAGAGCAATTATTGTACCTATCTTCTTTCATCACAGTGCATAGTAAAACTTACACATTCAATTATCATACAGATTTACACATACTAATACAGAATTACCAATTTGATACCTTTGAAATATTAACTCTCATGAAATCCAAAACTTACCAAAATCTGCTATTTTAAGTTCACCAATTTCTGATATAAGAAGATTTTGTGGTTTAATGTCCCTGTGAAGAATTCGTCTACGGTGACAATAGGATAGACCTCGTAGCAGTTGAAAAAGGAACAGCTTTACATTACGAGGGTGCAGACCTCCACCATGTTTCTCGAGGTACTGTGATAGGTCTGTGTGCTATAGAGAAAATATTTTAAATTAAGTTTTATTTTATACATATGCAACTATGTAGTACTGTACAAGCAAGTACTACTTATATAGAAGGTCTTCAAGCCACAAAGACTTGCATTCCTAGTTTTACAACTTTCATATCTCAGCTATTCATACAGAAAATAATAGTACAGAAGGATGGCTATGCTTTGTTCATACTCATATGTTAAGCAGAAAAAAAAAATTCTTACTGTGACTCGGTGATTGTGCAAATGAAATTGGTTCTCGAGTGACCCATTTACAAATGCAGATGTGCACAATTTGGGATGTTTGTAAGCGAAGGACCTCTTGTATAGCAATTTAAAAAAAAAAATGTCTGGACTCTCTTCTGTCTAACTGCCAAACTGAAAATCATCATTACATGGTACAGTGGACCCCGGTTTACGATATTATTTTATTCCAGAAGTATGTTCAGGTGCCAGTACTGAACGAATTTGTTCCCATAAGGAATATTGTGAATTAGATTAATCCATTTCAGACCCCCAAACATACACGTACAAACGCACTTACATAAATACACTTACATGATTGGTCACATTGGGAGGTGATCGCAAAGCGGGGGTCCACTGTATTCTGGGAAATAAACAACTATTTGTGTTGTACACAGTGTTTATCCTAAACCTCACAGTACAAATACAGTACTAACAGCATAAAAAGTAAAGTAAAACATGAAATACCAAAATAAAACAATAAAATAAAGTCATTACAAAAATGTGATGTTGATATTCAGAAGTAAAGTTCAACTTACATCCATTTCGACTTACGACCGGTTTCTCGGAACCGAACTCGGTCGTAAGTCAGATGGTAGGTGCATTTTGCTAGAACTCCATTTTTTCTATCGAGTAAGTACAAGAAACCACCCATTTACCGATTTCAACTATCCAATAAATGGTCAGAATTTAGCAATTTTGCCAATTTCACACAAATTTCAAAAGATGCCAATGTAAGAGGGGCACGCCCGCATGCCCCTCTTACATTCTTTTGCTTTCCACTTTGAATTTTTTATTCTCACAAAAAAATAGAAGATTTACTGTTATGGAGACTACTGCATTAGTTAGAAATGGTATAAATAATATTGGCGCACTTGTGAAAGAATATTAGACTCGCCAGTTGACGTGTATTGGACGCTTAGCATGATTTGTTTACTTTTGAACTTTGGTAAAAATCGAACACTTCTGCTCCTTTGAGCTCAATTTCAAGGTACTTTCCATTATAAAACCAGTCAAAATCATCTCAATTTCTATAATATGTCTTCCGTTCTATAAAATGAGACCAGGAAAACTAGAATACAACAATAAATGCCATACGAAAATACAGTGCAAAGTCGCTATTTTAATCCAAAAACATGGTTAAAGTTTTTTTTTCCTCATTACGCACTGTGTGCTGCAGGATTTTTTTATACTGTGCACACTGACCACATAGACCCATTCTTTCATATGTAGGCCTACCAGCTTTCTCTCACTAGATTTGAGGGCGCTAGAATTTAGGCATACTAGTACATCAAAAACCCTGGTGCGTAAGCCGTACTAGTACGTCTGAAACCCTGAAAGGGTTAAAGAAATATTTTTTACACACTACCAAATGAGCAAAATCTTCTCAGAATAGGTGTACAGCCTCTCCTCACTTAATGACGGAGTTCTGTTCCTGAAAACACATCAGTAAACCAATTCGTCGCTAAGTGAGGAGCACTATAATGGTAGTAGGTGTGTGTCAACCATCTTTGATATTGTTTTATTGTCACCTTTGCAACATTTATAACATTTTTAGTAAATTTTTTAAATGTTTATACAGTAGTGTACTGTATACTGTAATAAAAACAATAGAGGAAATCAGCTCTAATATACATTATTTAGGTATGCATATTGGTCAGAGAGCCTGTCATAAGTCCAAGCGAGGAGAGGCTTTATATCTAGCTAAGCTGGAAAATTTGAAATATTTTACTCTTATATAAAAAAGTCACTAAAAACTATATAGTTTTAGGTTCTAGATAAACTCCTCTTCAAGGGGGGCTCCTTGGCGTGGTGAAGAGGCTCTTGGTCTGAGGAATTAGCCCTGTCGGTCTTCTTCCTCAGACCGAACCTAATTACCCCCCATTCTCCCCTCCCCTATCCCATCCTCCCCTTTTTCCATTCCTCCTCCTCCTCCTCCTCACCCCTCCCTTTTGCCCTTCCTCTTTTTGGCCTTTGGGATTTCTCCCACAGGCGCGCTAGTTCCTAGGTAGGGGAAAGGACACCGGGGTCCATCCCATTCCGTTGAGGTTCTTGGCGGTGGCGTAGTTTGCCATGGAATCTGGATTGCCTGGGGATGTCCCGATCCCTCTCCGGTATCCCGGAGTAGCTTTGGGTGTCTTTCGGGCGACTGGTGTATCTCTGGAAGCCACCTTTCGGATTCCGGGGGTGGTGGCCGAAGGAGGTATGCTTTGTGGCGGATATCCGGCCGCCCTCTCTTTTGTCCACCGAGGTAGCTCGGCAGATGTGAGGTTGCTATCCCGGATTGCTGGTTTACTGGCATGAAGGGTAGGGTATGGCACGGGTTCCATGCTGCATCTGCGCTACTAGCGGTGTTGAGGTCCTCTTGGGCGCGGAGGGAGATTTCCGGCCCTTTCATTCCTCCTGGGAACTATTCCTCCCCGCTCCCCCCTTTTTTATTCTTTTTTTTATTTTTATTTTCTTTTCTTCTTTTTTTTTTTCTTAAAAACAAAAAGCAAAGGAGTAACCTAACCATGGCAGCCCTAGTCCATGAACCCACTACCCCCGGGCCCCTTCTTGATACCGCACCCCATTCTGACCCTGCCTTGTGTTTAGACCACTCTTCGGACACTCCTGATGCCCCTGTACCTCTTGCTGGTGCTGTTTCCTCACCCGCTTCAGGTACCGGGGCTTTGACTGACTCCTTCGATTTGTCTGAACTCCGCTCTCCTTTGACTATGCTTCCGGCTTCTCCCTCTACGGTACGGCAATTTTCGAATCGCCCACCCATTTCAAGCCGGACCAACTCCGGTCCTACTCCTAAACGCCAACGTCATTCTCCTGATGATGCTCCTTTGTTACCTTCCCATTCTACTCGGAAAAGACCGACACGTCAAGCACTCCCTCTCCACGCTCAGTTTCGGACCACACAATGGACTAAATTCTTTACTTTAAGACCGACTTCTTCTTCTGCCTACCTTTCTGACCATAGTATTGGCAAAGCGCTCCTGCGTCATGTTGGTAGAGATATTTCATTTCATGCTCTCAAGAGCGGTATGCGCATCGTCACTGTCCAGAATGCTGCCCAAGCTCATGATCTTTCTCTCCTTTCAAATATCGATACTACTCCTGTCACTATTGAAAAACATGTTTCTCTCAATTCTTGTAGTGGTACTGTCATTCTGCCCCATACCATAGTCCAACAGAATTTCCAGTCATGTGGCAATGACATTTTTGAACAGCTGGAACTCCAGGATCTCCCAATCCTCAAAGTAGACACTTATGTCCTTCCTGCCCGGGGGCGGAGACGTTACCCTTGCAATGTGGCTCGTTTAACTTTTGACAGCCGAGAACTCCTGTCCTCTGTATATGTCGCGGGACATCGGTTACAAGTTCGAAAGGTGATACCTACACCGCAACAATGTAGAAATTGCTGGTGTTTTGGTCACCCAGCGAAATATTGCAGATCTATGGCCGAATGCCCAGTCTGTGGTGCCGACGACCATTCTAATACATCTTGCAGTCAACCTCCATCTTGCCTTAATTGTAATGAAGCTCACTCATCGTACTCCCGCCGTTGCCAGGTCTACTTAAATGAACGTGAAATCCGTTGGCTTAAAGAGGCAGAAGGTCTCCCTTATGCTATGGCAGTTACTCATCTCCGCCTCCAAGGGAGACTACCCCGTGTTTCTTATTCTCATGTTTCCAAACATCCCCCCACTTCTGGGGTCCCATCTTCTGCAGCCTCCTCTGTTATTACCCCTCCCATAGCCACTACGGCATCTAATCCTTTTGCTGTCCTTGGCTCTGACGTCCCGACTACAACTCAGTCTGTTCTCACATCTTCGCGTCCTTCCTCACAAGCCCCAGTATCAACAAGACCTCGTACGACACCTAATACCAATCGCCCCTCTACTCAGAAGTCCAAAAAAATCCACATTGCTCAAATCTTCTTTGCCCCTTCCTTCCCTTCTTCCACCTCCACACTTTACCTTTCCAGTCTCTGTACCTAGTTCTTCCCCTCTCTCTGGCTCTATTACAAGTGTGGAGATTCACCCTCCTCCTCGTACTATGCCTTCCACCACCGTCCCCTCCCAAGTTTCTCCCTCTTCTGCCACCTCCCAGGTTTCTGCCTCTTCTGTCCCCCCCCACACTTCATCTCCAGTCCCTTACACTCTTCCCTCCCCCTCTACTTTGGTACAGTCCATTACTGTCCCAATCTTTACTCACCCTCCTCCTTCTATCTCCAATATGGTCTCCCATACATCTTTGAATTCAGAAACACTTGAAGCCATTTCAGAATATATTGCAGAGACTAAACCTTCAATGGACACTGATTCACTTCCTGTTCCTTCTCTTCCCTCTCCTCCATCTTCACATCCCCATTCTTCGCAACGCTCCGTTCCTTCGCTACTTGAACATCTTCCAATGCCACCACACGTTGACTTTTCTAACCCCTCTAGTCCGTAGGTGCCTTTACCTACAGATTCCTGATATTTTCTTCATCGCCAATCATGGCCTATTTACAGTGGAATATCCGCGGCCTCAGGGGTAATCGGGGTGAGCTTCAGATGTTGCTTTCCAGGTTTTCCCCTGTTGGTGCTTGCTTACAAGAACCAAAATTACACTCGGCTGTTTTCCAACCTATCTCAGGCTATAATTTATTGTATTCTTCGGATCCTTTCTCAGATGGGACCTTTAATGAAAGTGCCCTTCTTCTGCGCAATGATATTCCGTACTGTCAACTATTTGTCCATACCTCGCTGCATTACACTGCAG